CTGAACCAAAGGCTGATAAGCCATGAACTCCTGCCATCCACATGAAGGAGGGATTTTGTGGCTGCCAAATTTTTCTTTTGATCAGTTAGATGGCTTATCATGCTGATAATACCACTATATATATATATATATATATAGAGAGAGAGAGAGAGAGAGAGACAGAGAGAGAGAGAGAGAGAGAGAGAGAGAGAGAGAGATAATAGAAAACCTTGGTTTTTTTCCAAGGTAAAGGAGTCTCAGTAATCCTGTAGTCCCACCCTTTACCTTGTACCTCCCAACCCCACTCACCCCACCCGTTTCATAGCTGAAGCCCAGAGAAGTTAAGTGACCTAACCAAGTGATAAAGGTATGGTCTCTAGTTGTATTATGTTGGTGCAAAGTATTTGCAGTTTTTGCTATCAAAAGCAATTCCAGGCATTGTTTCTCGTCCATAACAAAATACTGTTTTCTCACTATTTGGGGTTATGACTTTATCAAAAATTGCAGGGACATTGTGGGAGTTAAGTCATTTTTATACATTGAGGGTGAGGGAAGTGATACTTCTGCCAACCTGTTGATCTCAGCAAGAATTCTTTTCCTCCCTGACCTTTCTATTTATTCCATCAGGCAGATAAAGAAAAGACCCAGAAAGATCTCACCAGGAGGCCATGGGACTCCAAGTTGCTCTCTTCAGATATAGGTCAAAAAAACTAACTTCCTGACCCTCTTCATGCCTTGCAATAAGATCTTGTAGTTTCTATGTCTGGGGCAGTGCTGAGTCTAGAAGGCTTCCTGTGATTTACAAAAAGCCTGTGAGGAAATGGAGATGTCCCTGAGCCTGCCTCAACCTGTAACAGTGATCCATTGTATTTCCAGGGGGCGGCCCATCATACTGTGATGTGAGACATCGGTCCAACCCTTTGGGGTCAGGAATGCAAAATGCCAAGTCATCTATTTTGCACCACAATGATGCAGTTTTGTCAGGAAGGATAGTATTTTTAAAGTGATCACCCAGTTGATTAACAAAAGGAAAGAAATCACACCTTCTCCTTTGAAGTTTGCCAGGCTTCCCCTAGCTAAAGAAGGCTCTTTCCTTAGCTCGTATCAGGACCATATTCAAGACTTTTTCAATTTAGAAAATTTCATATTTATGAGGAAAGGTGAATAATACAGCCAGTATATGAAACTAATTTCTTAGGTCAGTCAACATTTCTTTAAGTCAATTCATTGAACTGATGTTTGTGTGAATGTCTGGCTTATAGTGAGCCCTCAGTACATGTTAATTCCACTTCTTTTCCCAACACCATTGTATGGGGAATGACTCAGGTTCACGATGTTTAGTATTTCTCCAGAAGACTCTGAGTCTTCATTACCAAAAACAAAAACAAAAAAAAAGTTTAATAACATTTAACCTCCTGTATTTACTAAGGCAGAAAAACTTTCTAAGCTCCTTGTATTAGGATTCTCCAGAGAAACAGAACCAATAGGATGTGTGTGGTGTGTGTGTGTGGGGGGTGTGTGTGTGGTGTGTGTGTGTGGTGTGTGTGTGGTGTGTGTGATGTGTGTGTGTGTGGTTGTGTGTGTATGTGGTGTGTGTGTGTGTGGTGTGTGTGTGGTGTGTGTGTGTGGTTGTGTGTGTATGTGGTGTGTGTGGTGTGTGGTGTGTGTGTGTGGTATGTGTGTGTGTGTGTGGTGTGTGTGTGGTGTGGTGTGTGTGTGTGTGGTGTGTGTGTGGTGTGTGTGTGTGTGGTGTGTGTGTGGTGTGTGTGTGTGTGTGTGGTGTGTGTGTGGTGTGTGTGTGTGTGTGTGTGTGTGTGTGGTGTGTGTGTGTGTGTGTGGTGTGGTGTGTGTGTGGTGTGTGGTGTGTGGGTGTGGTGTGTGTGTGTGTGTGGTGTGTGTGGTGTGTGTGTGGTGTGTGTGTGGTGTGTGTGTGTGTGGTGTGTGTGGTGTGTGTGTGTGTGGTGTGTGTGTGGGGTGTGTGTGTGTGGGGTGTGTGTGTGGGGGGTGTGTGTGTGGTGTGTATGCGGTGTGTGTGGGGTGTGTGTGTGTGTGGTGTGTGTGGTGTGTGTGGTGTGTAGTGTGTGTGGTGTGTGTGGTGTGTGTGTGGTGTGTGTGGGGGGTGTGTGTGTGTGTGGTGTGTGTGTGGTGTGTGTGGTGTGTATGCGGTGTGTGTGTGTGGTGTGTGTGTGTGGTGTGTGTGGTGTGTGTGTGTGTGGTGTGTGTGTGTGGTGTGTGTGTGTGGTGTGTGTGGTGTGTGTGTGGTGTGTGTGGGGGGGTGTGTGTGTGGGGTGTGTGTGGTGTGTATGCGGTGTGTGTGGGGTGTGTGTGTGTGTGTGGTGTGTGTGGTGTGTGTGTGGTGTGTGTGTGTGGGGGGTGTGTGTGGGGGGTGTGTGTGTGGGGTGTGTGTGGTGTGTATGCGGTGTGTGTGGGGTGTGTGTGTGTGGTGTGTGTGTGTGGTGTGTGTGGGGTGTGTGTGTGTGGTGTGTGTGGTGTGTATGCGGTGTGTGTGGGGTGTGTGTGTGTGTGTGGTGTGTGTGGTGTGTGTGGTGTGTGTGTGGTGTGTGTGTGTGGGGGGTGTGTGTGTGTGGTGTGTGTGGTGTGTATGCGGTGTGTGTGGGGTGTGTGTGTGTGTGTGGTGTGTGTGGTGTGTGTGGTGTGTGTGTGGTGTGTGTGTGTGGGGGGTGTGTGTGTGGGGTGTGTGTGGTGTGTATGCGGTGTGTGTGTGTGGTGTGTGTGTGTGGTGTGTGTGGTGTGTGTGTGTGGTGTGTGTGGTGTGTGTGTATGTGGTGTGTGTGGTGTGTGTGTGGTGTGTGTGGGGGGTGTGTGTGTGGGGGGTGTGTGTGGGGTGTGTGTGTGTGGTGTGTGTGGTGTGTATGCGGTGTGTGTGGGGTGTGTGTGTGTGTGGTGTGTGTGGGGTGTGTGTGTGTGGTGTGTGTGTGTGGTGTGTGTGTATGTGGTGTGTGTGGTGTGTGTGTGTGGTGTGTGTGCGTGTGTGTGTGTAGGGGGCAAGAAAGTTATTTTAAGGAATTGACTCGTGATTATGAAAGCTGGCACATTACAAGAGCTGCAGTGAGCAAGCTGGAGATCCAGGATACCTCATGGTATAGTTCCAGTCTGAATCCAAAGTCTGAGAACCAGGAGAGCTGATGGTGTGTCTACTCTAAATGATGGCAGTCTGAAGACCCAGAAAGAGTCAATGTTTCTGTTAGAGCCTGAATACAGTGGGGGAAAAAAAACTAATGTTCTAACTCTAGGTAGTCAGCCAAAAGGAAATTCCCTCTTACACATGGTAGCACCAGCCTTTTTGCTGTATTCAGCCCTCAACCGACTGGATGAGGCCCATCCACATTAGGGAGGGCAATCTACTTTACTGAGTCAACTGATTCAAATGTTAATCTCATCCAAAAGAACCGTCATAGAAATACCCAGAATAATCTTTGGCCTAATACCTGGGCACCCCATGGACCAGTCAAGTCAACATATAAAGTTACCTATCACACTCCTTTTCCATTGAGCACTAGTCAAATTGAAATTTCATACAATTTGTGTGTTTGTAATAGAAATGATTTTCTGGTTAACCCCGTTTTACCAAATATGTATGGTATATCCAGTTCTCCTTAGGTTTTACTCTTTGCTCAGACCATTTCATTTTGGGGCATGCAAATAAATGGGATGCCCCCCTTATCCCTGCCCCATTTTCCCTTATCCCTATCCCTGTATGGGAATACAATGTACACTCATAACATGAAACCAAAGGGAGGATGTTCTATGTAACATTATTGATTCTGTGACCATCTTAGGAAGGAATGCTGGTGCGAACTCTCCATCTTCACCTCACGAATCAACAGACTTGTCATTAGAGGTATTACAGGGCTTGGAGTTACAGCAAAGCTTCACAGACATTCTCAGACATCAATCACATTTTGGTATTTGCAGCTCGAAGGCAAATCATCTGTACAATTATGATTTATATGAAATTCAGGAATCATAAATGTGCTTTGCTTTGGTCTTACTCAGAAACCAGTAGCCTTTACTCATGGATGGTAGCAAGTTTGGCTTGCACAGTGGAGGCTGTGTGCTGTTGAGGTTAATAGCATGCAATTACCCGGGCTCCAACTGCAGCTCTAGCAACACAGAAGCAAAAGGGAAAACACAGCAGAGTTCTTAGAGTAGAAATAAAACTATAAAAACAATGGTTGAAGAAGGATCTTTGTGCTTGTTTTAGATAGAATTCATTAAATTTTTAATTGCTACACCAAAGACTATATCCATATAATCTTTAGATATGCAGTGAGGTAGGTACTGTTATTATCTCCATGCTAGAATTTGAAAACAGAAACATAGAGAACATAAGTAACTTGTCCTAAGGTCACTTTGATTTGAAAGCAGGGAGTGTGGTTCCAAGGTTAACCACCAAACTAGGTGTCTCTTTGTTGGGTGAGTCCTCTCTCTGCCACCCAAACAAATACACAGCCTGGCTCAGTGATTCCACAGGGGTGCTGCCTTCCACTGCCAAGTCCTATGGGAATACTGGGCAAAGGTTCTTTTCTGCTTTCAGGCCATACCCCTTGAGCATCAGGTAGAATACTATGGGGGATAAATGGAAGACCAGATCCAGTTGGGTCAGAGGCTTCTCCTTCAGATCTTCTGCTCTCCAGAGTCTTTTTCTACCCTTTCCCCTAACCATCAACCGCATGTTCCTTAGAGTTTTGTACTGTCTGTTCCACTCAAGACTTGGGTTTCCCTTTAACATTTTTGTTGGTTTTGTAATAAACATCTTGGTGCTGATTTCTTTCTTTCTTTTTTTTTTTTTAACCAAATTTCACTCTTTCGTCCAGGCTGGAGTAAAGTGGTGCAATCTCGGCTCACTGCAACCTCCGCTCCCTGCACGTTCAAACGATTCTCCTGCCTCAGGCTCCCGAGTAGCTGGGATTACAGGTGCAGGCCACCAAGCTCGGTTAATTCTTGTATTTTTAGGAGAGACAGGGTTTCTCCATGTTTACCAGGCTGGTCCCAAACTCCTGACCTCAGATGATCCACCTGCCTTGGCTTCCCAAAGTGCTGGGATTACAGGCATGAGCTACCATGCCTGGCCGGTGCTGAATTTTAATTCCACAACCAGCTGGGCTACCCTTGGTAATACACTCAGTAATCATTACCCTCCCCCTTACCAACCACTCACTTGATCACTCAACACATAGAGTCTCCTTCATTCCTAATGTAGACTAGAGAGCAGAGATAACAGTGGAGAGCAAAGGCAACATGGTCCCTGCCCTCACGAAGTTTATAGTCTAGTGGGGAAGACAAACATTATTCAGAGAGTTACATACAAATATAAAACTATACTGTGACAAATGCCACAAGGGAAAGGTGCAGAGTTTGATGACCCCAGGACCAGGAATTGACCGAGTCAGGGAGGTCAAGGAAGGCTTCCCTAAGGAAGTGGTGCAGAGCTGAGATCGGAAGAAGCAGGGACGTGCTCCACAGGAAGAACATGCTCAGAAGCCCAGTCAGCAGCAGGAAGGAGTGTGGTGATTTTGAGGAACTGAAAGAAGACCAGCATGGCTGGAGAACAGAGGATGGGGGTGTGATATGTGACGAGCGAAGAGAAGTAAGCGGGGGGCAAGATTGTGTAAGCCTCTGATCAGGATTCTGGCCTGTATGCCTAAAGCAGTTATTTTCAACTGCGGCTACATGTCAGAAGCACCTAGGAAGCATTTTAAAATACTGATTAAAGAATCCCATTCCAGAACCATCAAATCCAAATTTCTGGAAGTGAGAACCAGGCATAAGTATTTTTTTAAAAAGGTTCCAGGTGATTTTATTGTGAAAACAAGGGTGAGAATAATTGACCTATAGCAATGGTAAGTCACTAAAATGTTTGAAGATAATATGTATGCTATGAATGTTTAGAGGGAGTTGGAAGCCATCTCCAGATTTACATTTCAAAAAGCATCCTCTGGCTAGAACCATGGAGTTACCAATGCTTGAGAGTTCAAAAAGGAGACCACTTCAGTGACAACTATTTATTTATTTATTTATTTATTTATTTTTGAGATGGAGTCTCACTCTTGTCATCCAGTTTGGAGTGCAATCTCGTGATCTCGGCTCACTGCAACCTCTGCCTCTTCAGTCCAAGCGATTCTCCTGCCTCAGCCTCCCGTGTAGCTGGGATTACAGGCGCCTGCCACCACGCCCAGCTAGTTTCGCACTTTTAGGAGAGATGGGGTTTCGCCATGTTGACCAGGCTGGTCTCGAACTCCTGACCTCAGTTGATCCACCTGCCTCAGCCTCCCAAAGTGCTGGGATTGTAGACATGAGCCACTGTGCCTGGCCAGTGACTACTATTGATAAATGGTGCAGGTGTGGATTAGGGTGGCATCAGTGGAGATGAAAAACATACATATATTTACAAGATTTCTAGTTGGTTAAACCACTGAGACTGGCAGAATGATGAAATGATGGATTCTATAGAGGGAAAAAAGAGAGCGAATGACTACCAGGGTTCTGCTCACACAATAAGATGGATAATTGTGCAATTTGTTGAGACAGGGACAAGGACTAGAACCAGAAATGTTTAGAGTGAGGGTGGGTTTTCATTTGAGCATGTGAAGTTTGCTTTCACTTTGTCATGCATGTTCTTTACCTCTCTTTTCTGTAGGTCATCCATACTTCATTTACCAGTCCTTGCTATTGATTATTCATTAAAACAAACAACAGCAACAGTAACCACAACAGCAGCAATAAAAATACCTTTGAACTCACTCAATTTTGAACTATTAAACATGTTAAGTCCATGTCATTGGCCTACTTAATCAACCCTTGGTTGTAACTTGAAGCCGCTTACTGCTAAGAAAATAAACTTCTCATAAAGTATAACTACTTTCTTAGCAAAACTATTTATTTCATCTTCTCTTTAAAATTTTTGATACTATGGGTTTTTTTTTTTTGTTTGTGTTTTTTGTTTTTTTGGGTTTTTTTTGAGAGAGCGACTCACTCTGTCACCTGGGCTGGAGTGCAGTGGTGTGATCTCAGCTCAATGCAACCTCCATCTCCTCGGTTCAAGCGATTCTCCTGCCTCCGCCTCCCGAGTAGCTGGGATTACAGGCACTCACCACCACCCCTGGCTAATTTTTTGTATTTTTAGTGGAGACAGGGTTTCACCCTGTTGGCCAGGCTGGTCTTAAATGCCTGACCTCAGGTGATCCATCCATCTCAGCCTCACAAAGTGCTGGGATTACAGGCATGAGCCACCACACCCAGTCTATTATGTATTTCTTAAGATATTTAATGCCAAGTAACAGAAACCGCACTCCAATGAGTTAAAATAAAAAGAACATTATTATAAGAATATAAAGGTATCTTATGGAATATAAGAATAAATCTGTGGCTAGAGTTCAGGAAAAGCTAGACCCATGAACTCATGACTTCACAGTTCCCTCTCCCCAGCTCTTCTTCTCTTGTGCATCTCCTTTGTTTTTCTTTCTCTGTTCTCAGAAACTAGCTCCTATCACTTTTCTTCTTAACATGAACAAAAATATGACAAGTGACAGCTCTTGAGGTTTAAGCTCTAGAGCTCAGACATCAGAGGGAAACAATCTTAACTCTTTCAGTACAAAATCTAAAATCCTGGGGTAGAAACTCAAGTAGACTAGCCTTCCTTCTCCAGACCATCAACTGTAGGCAGGAAGTCAGAGCTGGGGAAAAAGCTGTGACTATCTCACTTTGATATGCTACTGAACTGTGGCCAAAATGGATACCCCTCTTGATAGTCTGAGGGGATTCCTTTAGGATTTGATTTGCAAGCCCCAAAAAAGCAGGGGCTGAGCAAAACCATGCAAGTTTGCCATTACATCCCAACTAAATAAATTTACATATGTGATCCTCAAGACCTAACTGAAGACAATCCTAAAAAGGCTGATAGTTATGCAAAATATGTCATCTCCCTGAACTAGTGGTTTTTTTTTATGATTATTAAGGCACCTGAAATTTCCAAAATTTTGAAAATTTTATATTTCATAATGATGTATGCCAAGAGATTTGCATTTGTCTATGATTTGAACTATGATATTTGAACTGATTCTTTCAACAAAGCAATGAACTAGTTCTGAAATTATCCTAATTTTAAATATCATTTGCATTTCTGTAGATGGAAAATTATGTAACAAATCCTAGTTCTTTTCATTTTCATTTGATTAACACTAAGACTCTCCAAAGCTCTAAAAGAAATAGCAGGAGTTGAAATTTCAATTGCGTTTGGGAAAATATGTACTTTGTTCCTTTAGAAATAAAGGAGAATATGTGAGATGACAAGTCATAAAGAAGCTGGTCTCAACATGTATTCTTTTGAAGCTCTAAGATGAAATGAGGGCTATGCACATTACTGGTGATGAAAATGATCACAAATAAAGATCTCTTAGGAGCCTTCTTATGGAAGGGCATTGAAAAATGTAAGGAAATAATCAGGCCAACACTTCCCTTCTGACTTCCCAGTGCACAGCCTTCTCCTGCAGGAAAGAGAGACAGACTCTCTACCCCATGTGGTCATGACTTACGGATTTTCCCTCAAGGCATTTATAATCTAGTTAGGACTGAACATATATATGGCTAATGACATTTATAAAATAATCCATTCTTAAGTGTCCAGTAAGCAATGCACATTAGTGTAAACAGAAGTCAGAGACTAGGAGACCAAGCAGGTTTGAGTGGCCCTGCCAGGGCTGGCCCTTGACGAAGCTGTGAAGCAGATATAGTTTGTCTTGGGGGAGGTTGTGCCCCAGTTATCAGCACAGTCTCTGTTTCCTTCCTTTTGGCCCCCTGTGTACTTAACTTTAACTTCATTCTTCATCTGCTGGATGGTACCTATCATTTTTTCCAGTTTTGCTCGTAACTCATTTTCAACAAATCCCTGCCATGGTACTAATTGAAACTTGAAAATGAAACATAACAGATCTGTGGGTTGGAGAATCGAGTCCTATTCCTGGCCTGCTCCTCTCGTTCACTGTAATCGATCACTGTACTTAGCGAATTTTTGTATTTTTAGTAGAGATGGGGTTTTGCCATGTTGTCCAGGCTGGTCTTGAACTCCTGAGCTCAGGTGATCCACCCGCCTCAGCCTCCCAACGTGCTGGGGTTACAGGCATGAGCCACCACACCTGCTCTGCATTTGTATTTTTTAAAGTGGGAGAAGGACAGTCCCTATTATTCTCCAGTATAATTTACTGCAAGAGTCAGCAAACTTTTTCTGTAAAGAACCAGTTAGTAAATATTTTAGGCTTTGTGGGTCATACAGCTTTTGTTGCAATTACTCAGTTCTGCCATGGTAGCAGGAAAGCAGCCACAGACAACTTCAAAAGTCATTTAAAAGACAGGGCCAGAGGTGGCCTGCAGGGTGTAGTTTACAGACCCCAGGTTTAGAGGATGCTATCTAGAGCCAATTTGCTTGAGTTCAAAGCTTAGTTCTGCCTGCTTACTAATCTCTTTGTGCCACAATTTTCTCATCTGTAAAACACCTACTTCACAGGTTGTTTGGGCGACTAAATGAATTACTATGTTAAAGCACTTCTCTATTCGTGAACTTTCTACCTGTGATCATAGATATTGTCAAACCTTTTTACCAGAGCAAAAACACACAAACTTGGACCGCCTCAAACTATTGACTCTAGTGGCCACATGCATGGTGTTACTTTGACTCTAAAGCCAAATGATCTTGCAGCCTTCTGCAAGGTAACTTGTTGACAAGCCAAGATGTTTCTGAAGAAAGTATGAAAAAGAAAAACTTGGAGAAGTCACCTCTGCCAAAGTACTGAGCCTCGTGTTAGGGAGAACACTACGTTTTGGATATTTACTTATTTATTATTATTATTGTTATTATCATTTTTTGAGATGGAGTTTCACTCTTTCACCCAGGCTGGAGTGAAATGGTGCGATCTCGGCTCACTGCAACCTCCGCACCCACCAGTTTCAAGCGATTCTCCTGCCTCAGCCTCCCGAGTAGCTGGGATTATAGGCACCCACCACCATGCCTGGCTAATTTTTGTATTTTTAGTAGAGACAGGGTTTCGCCAGGTTGGCCAGGCTGTTCTCAAACTCCTGACCTCAGGTGATCCACCCACCTCGGCCTCCCAAAGTGCTAGGATTATAGGTGTGAGCCACTGTGACCGGCTGGTTTTGGCTACTTAGTATGTAGTAATACTAGGTTTATAGTATTACATGGAAATTGGTAAGGGAATTAGAAAAATATTAAGATATCATTTTAATGGGACTCAGTGTGGATTGGATAAAGGAGGTGGTGATAGTGGTAGAAATGAGGGTGTGTGCAAACATTCCAGGACAGGTAAAGGGCTTAGGAACAGATGTGTATTCTCTTTTCCTTCCAAATTCAGTGACTGAAAAAAGAGCAGTAATTGCCAACTCCTCTGCCACAGTTGTGTGGTAAAATTATGTGATAGAGTATTTTATAGCATTTCAGGTTTAAGTGAGTTTTGCCTTAGATTGCAACATTAACCTGCCTGGTTCCTCCTGTTTTTCATGTGGCGCGGTGCCCAAATTTTGTACAAGATTATTAATCTTTTACAAGGGTATTGTTGACAGTCCTGTAATCATGTATACAAGTCATAAATCTTTTCTTCAATAAGTCAATGGTGCCTGTCATATTTGGCAAGTATTTCCCAGGCATTAGCTAAACTGGAGTGATAACAGTGAGGCCATGGGCTAGAACAATGAGGCCTGGATTTATTTATTATTATTTTTTTCAAGACAGAGTCTCGCTCTGTCGCCCAGGCTGGAGTGCAGTGACGCAATCTCAGCTCACTGCAACCTCTGCCTCCTGGGTTCAAGCAATTCTCCTGCCTCAGCCTCCCGAGTAGCTGCAATTATAGGCATGTGTCACCATGCCTGGCTAATTTTCTTGTATTTTTAGTAGAGATGGAGTTTCACCATATTGGCCAGGCTGGTCTCGAACTCCTGACCTTGTGATTGCCTGCCTCGGCCTTCCAAAGTGCTGGGATTACAGGCATGAGCCACTGCGCCAGGCCCTGGATTTATTTTTTATTTAACTATATATATATGTGTATATATATATTTTCAGAGACAGGGTCCCACTCTGTCAGGCTAGAGTGCAGTGATACAATCATAGCTCACTGCAGCCTTGAACTCCTACCTCAAGCCATCCTCCTGCCTCAGCCTCCCAAGTAGCTGGGACTACAGGTGTATACCATGGACCTGGATTTAGACTTAGGTTCTTGTCATCGTTCTGTCACTAACTAGTTGTGTGACTTGAAGCATTAACTAACTTTGTATTATAGGGATAATTATCTAGCTTCCCTGGGTCTTGGTTTTCTTATCTGAAAAACAGTTAAACTAGATGTATGCAGCACTTGCCAATTCTATAGTTCAATATTCCTGAAGTAGACAGATTAGGTGATCCCAGAGGTCTGAAACTCTGTGTTAATTATCCCAAAGCCTTTTTGGGCCCTTTCAAAATTTCTCCTAGGTTTGTGGTAATGTTAGATCAGTTAATAATTACAGAAGTTGGACTGAAAGTTGCCTGGAAGTGACACAACACGGATTTAGAATAAGGAGCACATTAACCCAAATGGAAGAATCATCAGACAGTGAGGCAGCACAGGCTGCTCTAAGAGTCAGAAGACCCAAGGGGAGATTTGGCTCTGTTGCTTCCCACCTGTGGGACCTAGGCCAAATCATGGAGTTTTCCCAAGTCTTTTTCTTCATCTATAGAATGAAAATCATGATACATGCTCTGCTTATCACCCAGGACTGGTGCGTCAAATAAAACAATTTATGTAAAAGCCCTCTTTCTTTCTTTCTTTCTTTCTTTTTTTTTTTTTTTTTTTTTTTTTTTTTTTTGAGATGGGGTT